TGAAGTAGATGACCTCTAGAATAAGCTGACCAGACAACCGAATAAGGTAGCAGAAACAAAGCGCGGCGTTCCTTCCGGTCAACAAAGAGGTCCAAACTTCGATGTGTTCTTATGCAACGCGGCACTAGAGGAGTTCCACAACTGCGATAATAATACCACTTCGTCGGCGCCCCGGCGGAGCGTTGACGATCATTTCTATAGTTGTTAAATATCTGATATCGTCCTCCTTGGGAATGAGCTAGCATTTCTCACTGCCACTCTCCATTTGTTGCAGTCCACCTAAAGAAATTAGATCGGGGCAGCTTTCAAATCTCAAAGTTCTCGGTGCTTCGGGTCTTGTTTATATTTCAAAGTTTTCCATCCAATATTTCGTATCTTCATTTTCCTAGGCTCAGGAGGCAACTCCTTGTCATTCCCATTGAAATCGGTTGGGTGAAAGCATGCAGGGGAGATTCCGTTCGCAATCGGCGGAAACTTGATGCACGATAGAATGGAAAATTGTACAAATGTACGGGGGAATTGTTGATGTGCAAATTCCCCTTGTGTTTTTTGTTAGGAGTACCTCTACGGAGGGTTTCTTCTTGGTGCTAGCTCGTCTTCTTATTGATGACATGATCCACGCTCACCGCATTTTAAAGGATTTTTAATCCAAATCTGTCCAGTAGACTATGCCCAAGGAATAGAGTGTGGGAGGCAAAGAAAGAGAGTGAGAGAAAGAGAATAAGAGGAAGACCTGCCCCCTTGGGGCAAATCGGGATGTCCCCGGGCTTGTGGGTCATTTTATTCCATTGGAAAATTGAGTTACAAGTGGGAGGAGCCCCCAAAAAAAAGAGGTCCCTTCTACATTGTGAAAATTTCCTATTGATAGAACTTATAATAAGTAAAAAATATATAAAAATTGCATATTCAGCCTTGTCTTAAAGAGAAAAAGCAAAAGGCATTTTAGTTCTTTTACTCTGATTGTTGGATAGCCTTGAGATCCGTGATAAAATTAATAAGTCACTTGAGAGAAATGGTCTGCCGACTAACAAGAGGTGGCTGGAGGAGAGAATTGGTCGGCCGATTGATGTGAGGTGGCTGGAGAATTTAGCCGACCAATTGATGCGAGTACCTCCAACGAGAATTTGTTTTGGTCTGGTGAGGTCTTAGCGTCATTTTTTGTCTATACACAGTGCAAGGCGGGGAAGAAGAGTGAATTTTTGTGAGTGATTTTCGTTCGAACAAGGGAGTGGGAAGAATGAGGTGAAAGACTGGTAAAATTTCTAAAATGAAGGGGAGTTTCCGTGTTGTTTGTTTCGAAGTGAGGGTCTGAATAGGGAAAGGCCTTCATGCGAGCTTGTAATTAAGAATGAGGGGGAAAAATTATCGGGATCTTCAGTCGGGAATAGCAAGTAAATTTAGATATATTATTTTCTTCTGTTTGATTTTTTTCTGTTTTTTAATTCTTTTTTAACAGTCACAACAAATAAAAATGGTTAGAAGTGATATGAAAGTTGCATGTTTTCTTAGAATTAATTAATTTTAAGACATTAAAAATAAGATAGTTAAAGAGAATATTTTCTCTGCAAAAACACAAGAATTAAATTTAGTTAGGGGAATGTCTAGGATTAGGGAACAAAACAAAAAATACAGGTAGATTATCAAGAATTATTTCTAATATAGGCATTAAAACTTTTCATATAATTTCTAGTGTGGTTTAAGTGGATCAAATGGCTTCTAGATCAAGACTAGATCATGACGAAGAGGACACTTGGTTAACAGTCCATATTAGATTTTCACTTGAGTTTTATGGAAGATTTAATGGGAAAACAATTTGATTTGATAGAAAAGAATTTAAAGATGAGATCAACAAGAAACAAAAAAGATTTAGCAAAACATAGTATTAATCATTCACCAAAATAATTAGGATTAAAGAGGAACGCCCAACCTTCTTCTTTGGATAAGATTATCCAACCCTTTTAGAAGAGGCAGACCACCAAGCCACGCTTTTTGTTTTAAATTGATTCCAAATGAATTATCATAGCAACAAATTTTGCATCTAATTTTTCAGCCATTTTTAATAGATTGTACAACACTTGGTTCAAGTCACAAAGGGCTGAAAAGAGAAGCGGGCCCCAACCACATAAAAACTAAGCAACTATCCCTCCTTTTGCATTGATTGGCCAAAAAAAAATAGAAAAAGGTTATCTGCATTTATTTTATGCAAATAAATTTTTTGCTAACAATTTTAATTATGTTTCCCTCAATTTTTAAAAATAAGAATATCAAATTTTCGCATTTTGAAGTTCACATTTGCAAAATTTGACACATCACATAAAAATTATACACATATAGTCTTTATGATCAATCATAAAATATATAACATAAAATAAATCATATTTAGGTATTTCATTTTGCTCTTATTTATTGGCCTTTAACTAATTATAACATTCTTCATATTTTGAGCTCTAGTAACCGATCTCTTATTTTTCTCCATTGACTTCATGTGCCACAATCAGTATTCAGACATACCAAAGGTATAATGGATAATAGCTAAGTGAAAGCTTAGAATGCCTTCTAAAAAAATTCTTCAAAACATGACTTGCATTATTGAAGATACAAGTTCAATAGAAAGATACTGCGAGCATCGAGGAATAATGACTTGGTAAAGCAATTACATAAGATCCTCCGCCCACAGGTCTCACAACCAATCACAAGCCCAAGTCCTCAAATACCCAAACCAAATGGACAATGGGGCATAGCATCAAAGTAATACAAACCACTAGAAAGTCCACAAAGCCAACTCCATGGTCAATGTTGATACTGCGGTATAACCAAAAAATAATGGAGAACACAAACTATTGCTGAATTTAAATATGAAATTACAATAAAACAAGTGGAACTTTGAAATTGCAACAAAAACAACACACTTCACTAGACTTGGGTGGATCTCAGGAGGAGGTGGTGTTGGCTAGGGATTTGGAAGGTAGCAGTGTGACGGAAAGAGGCGGTTGACAAGCTGGAAACAGCAAGGTGGCTATTTTATAGGGTCCAGACACCAATAGCAGGAACAACAACGGTAGGGATGGTTCTGGGTGATAGCAGCAAGGAGAAAGACGTAGGATGGATGGTAAGTTGGGTCGGTATTGGAGGGTGGTGGGCTGCAGAAAAATATCAGCTTGGTAAGCATAAACAGTGTAAGGACGGATTTGGATCATGGCAGCCAAGCTGGAGCAGCGAGGTGAAGGAAGTCGGTGTGGGAAAGGGATGGGAAAGAGTACTGTAAAGATAAATACCACCTCGGGAACGAGATGCAACAGGAACACCACCCGGTTAAATATAGCCCTAGAAAAGAAAATGGAGACGTTGATGGCTATCCCGAAACAAAAAACAGCAAAAACTAAACCCTAACATTACAAAAGCAAATATATAGTTCTAGGATAACTAGGAGTGAGCCCACTCCCATTGAGCGGAATTCCAAGGCCCTGGAGGGCAGGCCAGCCCCTAAGAAGCCTGGACCAAACTGGTTCAAGTGCGCTCCTGTCGGTTCGAGATTCTATATGCAGGTGCTAGCATAAAATGCTTTATGTATCCAAACTTAATAAAAAACACTAGGGTGTGACATCTACCAAAATAACCCTTAGATATTCATCAATGTAAGGTCCAACACAAATGGGCCCAAACAAAAGCCCTCCTTCATGGTTGTATTAATAGTTATTTTTTGCAAAGAACTTTCCCTGCTAAAAGTCCCCCGTTAGAGTCATTTTTTTCACAAACCCCAAACCTATGGACAATTTAAGAAAGCTTGTTAATACAACAACGACAAGCCTTTGTTCCACTAAATGGGGTCGGCTACATGAATCCTTTTCTTCATCGTGTCCTATTGAGTGCATATTTTCATTTAATTAAAGCTTGTTAATCAAATATTAAAAACTGGCCAAGAGGATTTCACTACAGAAGTACAGTTTTGTCCCCTAAAAGCTCAGAGACTTCTAGAATGAATATGTTTAGCCACCTCGTTGGTCAATTAAGCTAGAGGAATACATGGAAGACCTCCAATCTAAGTTGGCAATAGATAGAATGTAGTCTCAATAAGCTCCAATCAATAAGTTGAACGATATTCCCTAGTCAAACATACCTATGTGAAAGGTCATAATGCAAAAGAGACACTAGCAGTTTAATCTAAAACATATATTCATTCACTCAATAAGTCAACTCGGCAAGTTTTGATTCCCTTCAACACACCATATAAATTTGTTACGCTCTTAAACCAGAATTCACACATCAAGTGGCTAAACAAGCTAAAGGTGATCATAAAAATTGAACATGCTCCGGTAATTGGATATATTCATATATAGACTCACTAGTTTAACAAATGTTAGGGTCAAGTCAAGTATATTTTGGCCCTCAATTGGCTATACAAGCTACAGCTGATCATAAAGATTGAACATGCTCCAGTAATTAATATGTTCATATATAGAAACATCAGTTCAAAAAATGATAGGGTCATGTCAAGTATATACTAAGAATCTCACATATACAGTTGATCATGCGGCTTTGAGAAGACCACAATAGAATGCAGACATATATACATATCACCCCAATATGATAAGGGATTACATCAACCATTCAAAAAAAATATTACTTGTGTCTAATTAACAGGGATAACTTCAACCAATGTAAAATCTATTATTTATTACAGAATTACCTAAGGGTTAAACTGATAATATATGTTCAATAATTAATTTTTCATATCAATTCAACAAGATCCAATGGCTAATATGACATATATGTACAACTATTCAACAAGTTCGAAGAATGAAACATCACATGGCCAACAATGAGGAAAATGAAAACAATATATTCCACAGCAAAAAGGGATCAAACAATAATGCAAATCCAGTAGGCTGCCTAGCCCCATTCTCACATACTAACCCTAAAAAAAACATCGGAGAACCAAAATCCATGAAAAATATAAATTTCACAAGGAGAATGGAGGAACTAGAGCGCACGAAGGAAACCTTATCATCGCAGGGACGGCAAAGGGCAGCCTCATCAGCTGCACAGAAGAGAACAGCTGCAGCACTCTCGCAGACATCGCAGATTATCCGCATCTTCCCGACCCACTCATCTCCCACTCACCACATATCTTTCCACTTTCCTCCTCCTCCTCCTCCTCCTCCAAACAGCCAACGCCGTCACAGCCAATTGCACGACAAAATCAGCAAGAATCGCCGACGAGGTGGCGCGGCGTTTCGAAATTGCTCGCCTCCCGACGAGGTGGCGCGGCGTTTCGAAATTGCTCGCCTCGGAGTAGAATGGGAGAGGGAAGTGGGAAATGGAGACGGAGTAGGAGCTCGTTGGCGAGGAAAAGCTGCGGGGTTGCGTGGCGTGAAGTCACAGCGGACGCCAGGAGAGGTTAGGCCTCCAGCATCTAAGTGGGGCCGCCCTAGTTTGCGGCTGAAGTTCAACCGCGCATTCTGTGGTGGGTCGTTTCTGTGGCTTGCATTGGTTATGCTATAAAATTTTAGGACAATTACATACTAATATTTAAAATATTTTTATTTATGAATTTAGTTATATATATTTTTTTGTCTATTTTTAACATTCTCATTTAAATAACAAAATTCACAATAAAATTTAATCTTATATTTTTTTAATAGTTTTCTAAGACATTGCTTGTATATGTTTATAGACGACACACTTACAGTGTTGTTTACAGTCAAGTAACCAAATTCTTAGGCTTGTGAGTATGAAGTCATTCGATATCAATATTTTTTTTATCAAGCCATGCTCATGATTCAAATTGCTTGACTTTCAATCGATTCGCTCCAGATTAATACCTTTAATGCTTTGAGCAAATCAATTTTTATAGTTTTTGTCATCGTTAATTATTGGGCTATCGTTTTTAGATCATATACAGTATTCTATTCCTACCCATTTAGGGAACACACTTAAAAATTTAATTATTAAATTACTAAGTAATGGGGAAAAAACATTTAATATGTTTAAAATTATGCTTAAATAAAAATTAAATTAAAATTGATTTAAGTCATATTTAAATAAAAATTAAATTGAAGCAAAAGTTAAACTACTTTCAAAAGAGAATTGTTATGCTTAAATAAAAATTAAATTAAAATTGATTTAGGTCATATTTAAATAAAAATTAAATTGAAGCAAAAAACTACTTTCAAAAGAGAATTAAAGAAAGAATAAATTTAAAATACATTTAAACTAAATCAAGTATAAATTTATTTTAAATAATATTTGAACTAAATCCAAGCCACCTAGGAAATTTCATAATTTTCTGAATTTAATGAATCATTTAACTAATTTTTTAAATACAAAATAATTAAAATTTCATACAAATTCAAATTGGTTTAAAAATCAATGAAGTTTTAAGTAAGAACAAATTAAGAATTCATAAGACATCTAATTAATCTCAAAACTCATGCAAACTATCTTCAAGATTTAGTCTTAATTAATAGGATTAGCATCAGATATATTTGTAGTCAATAAATAAAAAATCAATAAACTCATAAATTCAAAAAAAAATATACATTATAAATTAAGATTAAAATTATATTAAGACTCAAATAGATTTTAAAAAAATATTTAAACTACTTTAGTTAGAACTTTATGCTTGATCCTCACCCTTTGGTAAGGCAATCATCCTATTAAGATTAGATGTTAAGAATGAAGGGACCTGACCAAAAGGGTCTCACTAGTCCTAATACTCTTTAATACCCTCAAAATCGAACATAAAAAATAAATCTCTAAAATTGAAATAAAACTGTAAAAACACATTACTCGAATTGAAATCACTCGTTAGTAAAGCTTGAACTTTAAAGGACTTGTATAGACTCACCACACTAATTTCACGCACTAAACATCATTGTTAGGCCACTAACCCTAAACTTAATTTAGGACAATTCTAGTTGATTGTTGTTTGTCATGTATTATTTTCGTATTGATTACTATGATGGTTTTTTATTAGATTGGATATCAAATCAATTGATTGTGAGTTATGTTGGATATTAGGGTGACTAGTATGAACTTTATTATATAAAATTTTGATGTCATGATCATAATGTACGATATATGTCGTATTGCATGACGTATTATATAATGAAATAAATTAATCTGATCCATTTATACTAATTAATTAGCTTGAAATTATAAGAAATTACATCAAAAGGCGTTCATTATAATATATAATATATTTCTCAATTTAATTTAATTTAATTTATATTTTATATCAAATAAATATTAATATGAATTTTTAAACTAATTAAACTTCACAATCGAGATTATAAAGTGTACTTATCCAACAATTCAAATTTCAATTTAAAATTAATATTATTTGGAAAATGATTTAAGATGGAGGCTATAGATTTATGCTAGGTTGTGATTATATATGCGATTATTAGCTTATGTTTTTGAACACTCATAAACCTTGAGTGACAGAATTCTAAAGAGGAAAAACTAATTCTCAAGTAATATTTCAATTACACATCTTATGTACTTAAGTTTGAATACATCACTTTTGAGATATTTTGATGTTAGTCTAATGACAAAGGTCATGGATATTACTAAGTATTTTTTGTAAAAATGTTGATTATATAATAGTCTAGATTTTTACTGTGTAAAATCAACCCTTGAAATGACCATTCATCAGCAATCAATTTATGGTATGAATAATATAATTCTCATTTTGAGTCGAGGTGATATTAATTTTTTATTACAAATAAAAGAGAGAGAATTCTCCAGCTTATATTAGCAATAAAGTGATTACAATAAATGTTTAAAGGAGGACTCCAAAAGTGGATGTAGGTTTATTTTGTGGTCAAACTACTATGGATTAGTTTGCACTATTTTTGCTTACCATATTATTTACTTATTTTAAATATTTACTTATAATCTCTTTTTGATATTGTGTATAATATAAGATATTAATTGTTTGTGATGATTAACAGGTGAATATTCTGAAAAATGATAAAAGATACATTTTCTATGAATATCATATTATTACATGCATTAATAAAGACACAAGAAAAAGAATCTTCAACTTGGTGTATGAAATTATTTTGGATGATAAAAATAATTTAATTTTCTTAAATTTAATATAGCATAATAAATAGATAAAAAAAAAATCTTTCAACTAACTAAATAAATTCTATAACAAATCCAATCCACTCACAGTTTGTTATGTAGTACATTCAAATAGTTGGTTGAACAAATATGTTTATGTTTGTCACATAAAAGCTTCATTTTGTTGGATTAAGATATGTTGCCTCTTCAGGCTAGATAAAAGAGTTTATATGTTTCATTTAAAGTTCAAGTTGAGACATTCTAGTTTAAGGAGCTTAAGTAAAATCATTAAAGTATATAATGGTTAAAAACTCCAAGGTGAACAACAAATATTTCATCCAAGTCTATTAAATTCTAAAGGTTTGGCTTCATTAGAGTTAACGTGATTAGACTAGGTAAGCAGGTTTGGACTACTAGACACAGGGATTTAAGAATTAGTTTCATTCAGAGTATGAATAATAATGTAGGCTTTATTAGCCAATTAAATAACTACAGAAGTTTGACCTAGAATATAAAGGTACCTACTTGATCGAGATGAATGAGTAGAGTTAGGGATTTAAACTAAAATATACTGCTAAAGCCACCTAAGCATAACTTAAGTTTGCCTAATATTACTTAGAAGACAATAAAAGGTGTAAGCAATAAGATAATCATAGAGAGCTTAAAGAGGGCATAGTTAAATGCATTAAGCTTAAGATTAACCAAAAAAAAACCTAATAATGACTAAAAGGTTCTAAAGCTCCTAGGGTAGGGAAACTTTACACAAACCTAAGAATAATCTAAACAAAGAGCACATAAGTTACACTAAATTTAAATTTGATTTGGATTTTAAAAACTATTATAAAATTAGAAAATTAGGGTTCTAATGATTTGTGATTAGATTTTTTTATTATTTCAAATCATTTTTCATAATACTTCATATATCTTCTAAAATAATATAATTTTGCATAACTTTATTATTTATAACTTAGATATTAAAAAATCTTAGGTGTCCATGTTGATCACATTTTTGGTGAAGTATATTCTCTTTTCCTACTCTCTTAGTGACTATGATATAGCCTTAAGATTTTTAAAGGCTACCGTAAAGGACCAGTAAATGGTTGAGACTCAAATTAGAAAATCAAATCAAATCTTTACTCCCTTTAATTTGAAATATACTTGATTTTAATACTTAACATTTGGTTTTATTCTCAATTGAATTTAATCAAGCTATTAATATAGATGGTTGAGTTTCCGATAAAATCTGAGATATGACTTTAGGTGACTCATTCAGCTTAAAAACTTTAGTTCATGATTTTGTACCTTTTGACTCTTGGCTCATCCATGGAATATGTTGGCTAAAGCTACTATTTTATGCATAATTATTAGCCTCATTTTTTATGAGGTCTAATTCTCCCCCTTAGACTTTTCTGTTGACTATCCTAGAAGACTAGTAATGGAACCCACCCACTAAAAAATTCTAAACACTTCTTGACTCTTATTGTGAAGTCCCACATGGGCGGTTACAAGCCCTCATTTATCACTTGAGATGGCTAAGACCAACATGTGAAAACTCATTAATGAGTTCTTATATGATCAATGGACCTTAGAGCAACCCTAGGTGGCTTGGTCTTGAATAGACACACTTGGATTCACCACAAGTTCTCACACACACGCAAAACCTTCAACCATCAATTCATTCAAATTAACCCATCTCCTCTTGGAGTCCATGGCTATTCTTTGAACACTTTTGGAGATTCATGTGGGTGGTCCTAAGCCACTAACTCTTGGTTAGGATGACTACATGTGGAGGCTTCAAGATGGGTTCTTACAAGGACCATATGGCTTTAAGGAGGATTTTTATATCTTGCATGATGACATCATCCAATCAACCCCAAATTCACCTTAAAATCAAAATTTGCCCAAAATACCCCTAAATTCTAAAAAATACCCAAAATTACCAAAGCCCATAATTCCACCCAAAAATCCACCAAAACTAATCCTAACTACCCAAACTCATCCAATTTAGCCAATTCACCCAAAATTCACAAAAATGACCAAAATACCCTTTAACTCCCCAAAATACCAAAATAACCTATTTTCTTAAAAAAATCCCAAATTCCCCCCAATTATCATTAAAACCATTCCAAACCCAC